TGATGCCCTCACCCAGTGGTAACAAGGTGCCCCTCCTCTTCCCTGTTGAGTGGTGGCAGAAAAGGCCAGGTAAAACAGAAGATTTAAATAAGACCCAGAGTCTCATGACATAATATAAAAAATGTCCAGGTTTCAATAAAAAATCACTCATCATTCCAAAACCCAGGAACTTGAATTAGCCAAGGCAATCAACAGACACCAGAACTGGGGTGGAACAGACATTAGAATTATCTGACAAGGATTTTAAAGCCACCATCATAAAAATGCTTCAACAATTATGAACACACTTGAAACAAATAAAAATGTAGAATGTTTCAGCAAAGGAATACAAAGTCCTGGCAGAGAAATAGAAGATATAAAAAAGAACCAAATGGAAAATTTTGAACTGAACTGTACAATAGTCAAAATAAAAGCTCAGCGAATGAGCTCAACAGCAGATTGATGGGACAGAGGAAAGAATCAGTGAACTTGACAAGAGAACAATAGAAACCACCCAATCTGAACAACAGAGAGAAAATAGACTGAAAAAGAGCCTCAGGGACCTGTGGGATGATAACAAAAGACTTAACATTTATTTCATAAAAGCCCTGGAAGGAGAGCATAAAGAGGATGAAGGTAAAAACTATTTAAAGAATTCGTGGCTGGAAACTCTCCCAGTTTGGCAAAAGACATAAGCCTACAGATTCAAGAAGAGTAGTAACCCCCAAACAGGAAAACCCAAACAAATACATGCTAAGACACATTACAATCAATCAAATTTCTGAAAAATAAAGAAAAAATCTTGAATACAATGAGGGAAAACAGCACCTTACCTGTAAGGGTACTTCAAAAGTGCATGGAAAAATAGAATTAAAAGATAATATAAAAATTTCCATTTCTGAAAGGCCCCTCATATATGAGATAAATAATTAGAATTATAGCAGATTTCTCATCAGAAAACGTGGAGGCCAGAAGGAAGCAGCACAATATTTTTAAAATGCTTACGTGAAAGAACTGCCAACCAAGAATTCTATATCAAGTAAAAATGTCCTTCAGGAAGGAAGAGGAAATTAAGATATACTTAGATGAAGAGAAACAGAGAGAATTTGTTGCCAGACAACCTACGCTAAAAGGAAAGCTAAAGAAAGTTCTCTAAATGGAAAGAAAATGATAAAAGAAGTCTTAGAAGACCAAGAAGGAAGAGAAAATAACAGAAAGGCTAAAGATATGGATAAATATAATAGACTTTCCTTTTATTCTTGAGTTTTCTAAATTATGTCTGATGGTTAAGCAAAAACCATAACATTGTCTGATGAGATACTCAGTTTAGGTAGGGGAAATATTTAAGACAATTATATTACACGTGGGTGAGTGTAGAAGGAAGTGAGGCTTCCACACTGTACTCAAACTGATTAAATGCTGACACCAGTAGACTGTGTTCTGTTACGT